GCCAATCAACATCGAGTATTTGCATTCAAAGCAGCCAATAGGATTGCAGATACTCAAAGGACTTTATTTACAGAATATTCAAGGGGCACCATCTACAAGAAGGTCAGGGTCAACAGATGTGAAAAATGCGGCAATACGGGCAGCAATTGCATTTCCCAATCGATTCTCTGTTGTCAGGACACCAGCACCTCGACGAATCGGCAATTCGGCCAATTTTGCTACGCCATTATCGTCTGGGAAAGCAAAGGATAAAAAATGATTTTTTTTCGTCGTAATCGGAAACTGCCATTTAAAGTGAGCGACTGCAGAAGGTATCAGCAACAGTGGACTCCACCTCTATAAACCATTCCACTCACAAGGGTAGACAACCTAGCTCTAGCTGCATTTCGTTTTCGTTCGCTTCAATTCCAAGCTCGAGATGCTGTTTTACATTCGATTATAAATAGACCGGTAACGAATAAACTGTTTCGTAATTAGCATTTTTAACAATAGGGAATTACTCAGTCTGGCAAGATATAGGCTTTCATTGGATCAGTCGTGTATCCCAAATCGGTTAAGCTCGCAGTAAAAAACTGGTTGGTGTCAATGAAGAGGTATGTGGGTCAGAGGCGTGAGGTGAGCACTAAATCACTTGCGTAGGGTAACTAGGTCGCACTGAAAGTCAGTCATCCACACAACCATCAAACAATCGAGCTTGTAAGGGAGATGACACCTGCCAATCAGCGAGGATTAAACCAGGAGCTATGACGAGGTTTAGAGTGAGACATTTAAGTACCTCAGGGATTGACTTTTGCAGTGACAAGATGGAGCAATGGAGTTTTGGCCAACCAGACACTACGAGCTAGTTACACTTTGGATTGAAATGATATGTAGACCAAAATATGTTGAACCACCTGAAACGTCATTGACTGCATTGAACAGTGCACGTGGAGTAGGGAAGGCCTCTGCAACAGCGTGAACTACCTCCCCAGTCATTCCTCGCCACGTTGCAAGCTGACGCAGCCAGGTTTGATGAGCCCACGCACGTACCACTTCCCCTTCGTTAAAACCAATGCCTCGACATGCTGCTGTCAGAGGGAACCGAGGAGCAGCAACCGCGCCTGCAACAGTTGTTGCCGAGGCGGGAAGGAAGGAGAAGCCATGTCGATCGTCTAATCGCGACTTCCTATGAGGTAAAATGTCCACTGGAAGGACGGAGGATGGAGATATGGATTGCTGAAACAATATCAATAGAACTGACCATTTCGTAATGAATAGATACAACTCACTTAAATGGACGCTGACAAACAGCTTTGGTGTAATTGCCCACAAGAACAGCAAGATTCTGCACCGTCGAAGCCTGTTGAATACCTGCTAAGCGACACTCGAATTGGAGGCGAGTGAGTAGATCAAGGAAGACGCGCTCTTTAGTTGGAGAGAGTCTAATCACAAGAAATCGGTCAGCGAGTAAGACTAGGTGCATTTTTGGCACAAATAACTATCACCACTTCCAATGGATTTTCGCAAAATTTTGAAAATGGCGGATGATGAGGCCCTACCACTCACAAAGAAGCAGCAGATATATTAACAAAATCGGCATCAAATAATCAAGAGATCGATGAAAGGCACCACAGTAGTAAAAGAACGAAGGCCAGAGACTAAGGCGAAATTGAGGAGATTCAGAGAACACAGAACTATTTTAGATGGAAAGAATATAAAAGCAGAAATCAAATCTATGCCATGCCATAGGCTGCCAATGTCTACTATTACTACACGAAAAGTGCTGGAAATTAGCCATAAATAACCACGCAATAGAGATTTTATGCCACCTTGGAGCGAAGATGATGACGGAGACACGTCTTCGACTTGGTAGCGACCGAAGCATTGCTGCAAAATTATGAGCTGCTGACTCATGCTAAACCAAATTAAAGAGATTGTAATACTTTGTTCTTACTTCCAAAAGTGAACGAAGTTGATTCTGCAGAATAATTACCAAAACGTCGGGTTCTTCGATCGCCACAAGCTGGACAGCAGCCTCTTAACATTGAGAAATGGATGATAATGCGCCTATCAAACCTGTTTCAGCAGAAGGTGTGTACCTTTCCCAGGTTATGGAGAAGGGAAACGGAACGGGCCCATCTAAACCATGAGAATTTGGAGGAACCGGCCTGACTAAGGCCGGGGGATTTGTGACCCAATCAGGCAACTTTGCAAAAGTTGATTTGCTGTTACTCGGATTGTCACAGTTTATACGCGCCGAAATTGCAGCGAGAAATCCCTGAGGCTCTCGAAGAAATGCCTCGTCAAACAAGCAGGATACCAACTAAAGTGAATTACAACAAATGGCGCCAAACTCACTCGACGACAGTACTTCTCCGATGACAATACATCAAATTTCCTTTTTCTGGCTGTAATTTTTGGCATGACGTATTAACCTCGACGCCGTTTACCTAGCCTGTAAGGCGGACAGTTTCCCACTTTAAAAAATGCTGCAGCTCAATGTTATGATTTCGGTTAATGCAAACAATTTTGTTCCATCTAGTAGCAAAATTCATACGACTTTAATCGAGTTCTTTTATTAGAATTCAAAAATACATAACAAAAGAAAGAAATATGTGCTAGGACATCTAATCACAAGTTTTATATAGTACATCTCGGGATTCGATGCCCTAGCCTATTAATGCACCCATTCATCTTTAACTTTATACTCCGAATGGATCTGTGTTAGAGTGAACCTGTTTTAACCACTATACCTCAGCAAATTGTTCTAATTTATTTTCCTTCAGAAGCGTCTCAAGATTTCCCACCAGGTAGGAAATGCAGCAAGTGGGGCTGAGTTCGTGTATCTTAAGAAGAACAATGTGACAAGGCCTGGGCAAGGCCCGAATGTCTGCCTACCCGACACCAGATTGTCACATAAACAAAGTAGTACAAACCGCACTTTTGCAGAAAGATATGCATTTTCTCCATCCACTCCAGATGGATTAGCAGCGTTAACACCTCGCCTTCAAAAGGAGTGCTGTGCGGAAGACTATTTACGAATTCGAACTCCCACAATATTTTCCCGATTGCTGCCTTGTCCATAGCCACAGCCTTTTCCCATCTCTAAAGGATGCCTAATACCCCCCCCCCCCCAAAGCAAGCATATTATTAAGCCAAAGGTTCAGACGCCCGACGTTATGTTGGGTGACCACATATATTCGGCCATGTACTCTCTGACACTTCTGTGAGCAGCAACCACCAAGGAAAATAAAATAAATTCCCTCAGCACCTTTCCCATCGTATTACCTCCCAAGGTAACTTACTAAGTGTAATCCTGAACTAATGTGTCCACATAATGCACACATGATGCGGGCAGCAACAATAAGGTAGCCTCAATACCATCATCATAGCTGTAATGCATTAAGGCAAAATTCTCGGAGATAATTCATACATGCACAGGCACACAATTTAACAAATCACATTAATGCTGGCTCCTGTTGCTGCGTCACAGATGGCGCCTCTTTCAACACAAACCCATGCTGCCAAATTGGTGTTTCGCCCGGACAAAAGGTGTTTGCAATGCGGGCGACTTCCCTCAAGCCGGAAAACACTGCTCCCTGTACTGAGGCTGGATAGTGTCTATTCGTATGCTCCCCGCAAAAGTAGAGCCGGGTTGGGACTTCTGCTAGGCCTTCTTCTCCCTTCACAATTGCAGCTGGAGAGCTAAGGCTTAGTGGCAAGGTGGGCGCCGTTGGTGAAGCCGGTGCTGCTAGCAAATCGTAATCATCACCGCTGGACCCCACTGCCACGTAGGAATAGGATCCTCGGGTATTCTCGTCTGAAGTCCAACGCGTAGCGTATGCACCAATTGGCTAGAAAACAACAATTTCGAATGCCATAAAAACAATGAGCAACAACTACTCACGGTACTTCAGTCGTCCTTACATCAGGCACATTGCCCATGTTCTGTCGGCCAAAAATCTTGCGTAGAATAGACAAAGCACGCGCGACAATGGGCAGCTTGAGGTAAGCCGCAGTGTCATCATCACCTTTTGGTCCCACAGTGGCAGCAATTTCAGTCTCCAAAGCAACGGCCGCCTTACCAGCAACGAGAGCAATGAGGCACGGTCTATCGGTGATGGACCAGAAAAGAAAGAGTTCACCACGGCGTTCAGTGGAGTCATGAACGTAGCCAAAGACTCGCTCGTTGCGATCCCAAAAGAAGTCGTTGAAGAAGAGAACCAACTAGAAAACGGACAACGTAGGGAATCAGATCGAAGCTCTACTCCA